CTGTTTTTTTTTTTTTTTTTTTTTTTTTTTTAGTACTGGGATCAGCTTGGATCCTTCCTTTGCTTAAGCAGGTGCCAGAACCACTGGACTAAATCCCTGGCCAGTTTACCTATTTCTAGCCAGGGGGAAGGAAAGCTGTTTGATCAATCAACAGAGCTAACAGTGGTTCTTTTCACTTACAAAACTCTTGTGGGGGAGACCCTGTCACCCCCCCAGCGGGAGAGGAGCTCTGCCAGTGAGGTGGGAGCCTGGGGTGGCCTGTGCAGAGTGGCATTCTCCAGGCTGGGTGGAGAGCCCAGGCATTCTGAGAGGCTTCTTGAGGTTCCAGAAGCTCCTAAGAGCGGGGCCTGGAGATGTTGTACATCATTTGGGTGAAATGGGTCGTGGGGTTTGGCCACCTCTGTCTGGAAAGCAGGGTAAAGACATTTACACCTGTAGAAAGAAAGCCCTTTCTGTGGTTTGAACGCTGTTTTTTTGTAAGGCTTTTTGTTCTTCCATCCCAGCAGACTGAATCCCTCTAGTGGCCATTTGGGGGATTGTTTACACATAAGTGAGTGAAGAACTGTCCTGCGGAATTAGAGCGCTAGGGTTTTAGTAAGAAGCTGCACAATCAGTCTGTCATGTTTAAACTTAAGCTGGTTGGCAGGGAGACCCCAGTGGTGTTTCCAGGACCCTGGCTTTGGTTTGCCTCTTTCTGAATTTCTTCAGGGATCTTCAGGGCACTGCAGGGAATGTGTGGAGGTAGGCAGGTTTAGAGATGAGAGCACCTCGCCTGATGATGGTGATGGCACAGGAGAAGACGAACGTGGCAGGCCAAGTCCTGCAAGTGGATGCAGTTCAGCAGTGTCAGGCGTGAAGCTGCTCTGCTGACCCTGAGGGTAGAACATGTCACCAAGTAGGTTCCAGCTACCAGGCACCTTCTGTGAACACTGGGAGCCAGGACAGGCACTGCTGGAGGGCCAGAGACCTTGGGGTGCTCTGGAAGTGGGGTCTGAGTGGGACCCCCACAGATCCCAGAGGGCTGTGCACACCCACTTGTGCTGCTTGTGAGAGCTAGGTGCTTGCAGGACCTATCCCTAGCCCTGTAGCTAACCTGGCTGTCCCTTCAAAGTTTCTGTCTCTGTCCCCTCCTTCTGTTCCCACTGTCAGCCCCTGTACCTGTGCCTAATCTGGCTACTGTGCAGACGCCCACCCGCCCCTCTGCACAGCTCCTGTCCTCTTCTCCCAACTTTGCCCTGTGCCCTGTTTCCCTGGAAGCCCTTTTCCATCCTCCCCACAGAGGCCCCTTGACTCACATCCATCAGAAGGAGTGGCCCTGTGTGCCTAGTCAGAACCACTTTCTGGACAGGAGGTGACTGAGCACAGTGGGAGGAGGCGCACAGGCATCGGGTGAGAGCCCTTCAGAACACACTGGAGTAGGGAAGCCTTGTGGCTTGGATGCCCACCTGGGCTACATCATGCAAGAGATATAATTTAACTGTACAGTATAGTTTGTATATATACATCACAAAGTTTCCTTTATTTTAAAAGATTTACTATAACATTTAAAACCAGGAGGGTATAGCTGGGTGTGGTGGTGCATGCCTGTAATCCCAGCACTTGGGAGGCTGAGGCAGGAGGATCACTGAGTTCGAAGCCAATCTGAACTTCATAGTGAAACTCCATCTCAAACCCCCCCCAAACAAAAGAATGAAGCAGGCAGGTGCCATGTAGGCCACAGGCTGGCAGTGCCATCTTTGTGCCCCAAGCAGTGCTTCTGCCTTGTGCCCCTGCGCTCACTGCTCTTAGCATTGTGGGATGCTTGGCCTTAGTAAATTGTATCGTGAGTGTCCCTATAGGGTCCTGATAGAAAGTCCTATCATGGTAGCCACCACTACAGCCATGTTGGTAACAGATGCTGGAAAGTGAAGGACAGCCGAGTGGGGCAGTTCTGAGTCTTGTCAGCCCTGGCGGCTTTGTCTCAGGCACAGGTGCGTGGTATGTGTTCATGGGGCGCAGGTCCTGGCCTGGGCTCCAAGTGTCCAGCTGCGTGGCTGGAGGCAAGCGTCGTCCACAGGCAGAACCAGGCTAGTGGCACTCATGCTGTAGCACAGCCAGGGGAGGGGGAGAGTGCACAGTGGCAGAATGCAGCAGCCATTCCTCCTTAGGGCGCTTTTTGGGAGTGGAAGGTAGGGCAGCTTATTTCATTATGCGTCTTTGATTTTTAACAAGAGGTATCTCTGCCCCTCTGCTGGCCAGTTGGTCCAGCGCTTCACGCAGATCCTGTCTTGCTGGGCTGTCTCAGGCCATGCACTGGCCCCAGCCCTTTGGGCTATGGGTGTGACTGCATGGTCATTGAAGCCAAACTTGTCACAGGCCTCAGGTAGGTAAGGATGGCAACTATGGAATGACTTTTTTGGCCCCTTGATTATAGAAATTTGCAGGTCTGTTTCGTCTTTTTAAGAGGGTAGACTGAAGAAACAATGCCCTATATCTTCCTCAACACACCTGAAAACACCCCGCAGCCCAGTGGGCCAAGCGCACTGCACTGACTGTGGTCTCATTGCAGGAGACGTGGCAGTGAAGATCCTGAAGGTGGTAGACCCAACCCCAGAGCAGTTCCAGGCCTTCAGGAACGAGGTGGCGGTGCTGCGGTAAGTGCTGTCCCTTGGGGTGGCCAACACGCTGGGGCTGGGGCTGGGGCTGCAGCTGCTGGTGGGTGCTGTCCCCAAGGTGGGAAGGGCTTTCTTTCTCCAGCACTTTTGTCGTGTGGACCCCTCTGGGCGCATTGCACTCCACACCCACCTCTCTCTCTGGGTTTTGGTTTGACAGTCAGGAAAAATAGGTCCCATTTCAACCTTTATTTCCAAGAATTTTTATAGCCAAGTTACTTTATACTGGGTTTCAAAACTTCAGTGTCACATCCTGAGTTGCTGCTCTACCCTTCAGGAGCTGGGTGGTGGGTGGTGATAGATTGCACAGGGGAGGGAAACTGAGGCTCATGAAAAGCCATGTTGCTGGTCAGAGAGAATATACCACTGTGGACAAGGCCAGCACTGAGGACGGTAACAATGTGGCTGAGACCCCAAGCTGGGATGTGGGCTGCTGCCGATGGTGGAGTGGACACAGAGGTCCGGGCCGTGGGACAGTGGAGATTCCTGAGCACCCTCTCTTCTCTTACCAGCAAAACGCGGCATGTCAACATCCTGCTCTTCATGGGGTACATGACAAAGGACAACCTGGCGATTGTGACACAGTGGTGCGAGGGCAGCAGCCTCTACAAACACCTGCATGTCCAGGAGACCAAGTTCCAGATGTTCCAACTGATTGACATCGCCCGGCAGACGGCTCAGGGCATGGAGTAAGTATGCATGGCTGAGCACCAAGTTGGTGGGGTGTGGCAGTCAGCTCTGTAAGAGCCTTTCAGCCATTGAGCGACTCCACGCTGGCCGGCAAGGAGCCTGTGGGCAGGGCATGTTCTATATTTCTCCATATAGGGGCTGGTCATGCATTACTCCCTTCAGAGAATGTCTGCAGGCATCCTCAGTGCCTCAGTTCCGCACTCCCTCTGACCTGTCCCCTCTGGCCCAGCTGTCCATGGCCTCCTGTTGTGCACACCTTTTTGGATCTCTCAAAATTCCTACAGCAGGTGCCTTCGTAGGGAACTGAATTTTAAGCAGTACATAGAATAAGTACCTTTAGAAAATTGATATAATTAACATAGTATAAATTTGCCATTTAAAAAGTGTGCAGTTTATCAGTTGTCACTGTCTACTCAGTGTTTGTCACTACTCTCGTCAGCCAGAAAGACTCCTTGGCATTCACTGTCTCCCTTTTCCTCCCTACCCGAGGGGCCCATGGCCCTCTCTTTCCTGTCTCTGGTTTTTGTGGGGTTTTTTTTTTTTGTACCAGGGATCAAACTCGGGACCTTGAGCTTTGGAGACAGCCAACAGAACCACTGAGCTAAATCCCCAGCCCATCTCTGGTTTTGCACATCCATGTAAACGGAATCCCAGATGATGTAAAACATGTGATCCTTTGTCCCTGTCTTACTTGGTTTTGTGTTTTGGGGCTGAGTCCAAGTAGCTGCATGTATCTGAACTTCATTTTCATGACAACTAATGCTCCCTCTTAGGGACGCTGTGCCATCCTGTTCCATGAACCGGTGGACTGGGTTGTTATGGTTACTTTGGAGTAAAACTGATGCTTTAAGAAGCACCAGCACATTTGTCTGTGGCCTCCCTTAGGGTGAGCAGTGACGTGGGCCAGGGCCAGCCCATTGTCACTCATCGTCACTCTTCCCAGAATCAGGCCCACGGGTGGCTTCATTTCTTAGTTGTGGTTTGAAACTGCTTCTGTCCAGCTGTCTTTAGCAGATTTATTTCCCTTCACAGCTACTTACATGCGAAGAACATCATCCACCGGGACATGAAATCCAACAGTATCCTTTGGTGTTTGTGTTGTTGGATGGCTGGCTCAGTTCAGCCTTAGCAGACAAGGGTGATTTACCATGAGGACCTTTGTGCTAAGGGGCACCTGAAAAGCTTTTTTAGGGAAAGACGCAAAAAACAGGAAGAAACAAGTCCAAAGGTTGATGCTCAGAGAAGCAGACCTCAAGGCTGACCTAGGCCCCCTGTACCTATGGCACTGTGAGGGGAGGTGTCTAGGAAATGTGACTTTCTTTCCTACATTTTTCTCAGCAGTAGTGATTTGAAAAGTGTTGGGACTTGAAGTACGCCTGTTTTTATTATACTTATTTGTAGTATGTGACAGTGCTTTTTTTTTTAATCTAGTGAGAAAGTAGCTATAAGCTACTCTGGCAAGATTTCCAAAATTAATACTGAACATTGTCCTTCAAAGTACAGTAGTTTCCTTAGAGATCATGGTGGTTTCCAAAGCTTTCCTGAGAGTTGATGTTTCATAGAAGAACAGAAAAGGCATTTTTCTGCTAAGGGGTGTGGCATATAATGGCTCTCCCTCTGGAAGGAGTGTGCTTCTGGGCGGGGGCTGAGGGAGGGGTGTGGAGCTGGATCAGAAGATAGGACTCTGGCTATTTTGGGTACTTGTCTCAGGCACAGAACACCTTCGATGGTGGGTTTTTTGGGGCAGCAAAATATTATACCATGACATCAGACACCACCGATTTAAGTAGGCATGAGTTCCTGGGCAAGGTCACAGTCGGACATACACTGCCTGACTTCTTTACCTAGGAGGGAAGGAGTTGCCTTGAGGTCTCCCAAGTGGGAAATTGCTGAATGTCAGCCATTAGCACTCAGGAAGGAGCTGTCTCCACTGGCCCATGAATTCTAAGGGTGGGCAGCTGCCAGGCCATGCTTGGCTCTTGCGTCACATGGAAAGTCACAAGGTAAAGGGAATCCCCCACCTACATGTAGAAATGGGCAGTTCCCACCCCTCCTGGAAGACAGAAACTTGGAAGTACTTTTCAAAACTTTCCAAACCTAACAGACAGATGCAGGGCAGAGAAGGCTGGGCTAGGGTTAGGGAAAGGTCACTTGTGAAAAGGGCCTTTGGGAAGTTTTTCAAATTAGGTTGATCCTTTTGAAGCCAGAGTTCTTAACAGGCATTGAGATATATTTCTCCACGAAGGCCTCACAGTGAAAATCGGCGATTTTGGCTTGGCAACAGTGAAATCGCGCTGGAGTGGCTCCCAGCAGGTGGAGCAGCCCACTGGCTCTGTGCTGTGGATGGTGAGGAGTCCGGCAGACCGGCAGATGGGGGCTTCCTGACAGCAGGAGGAGGGATCGGGTTAGAGTTGGTATGCTGGCGCTAACTGGGCAGATTGTAAGCCTTGAACTGGCTTTAGCTGCCACGTGGCCCTGGTGTCTGTGGGATCACTGCAAGGTGATGCACGGGTCTGTCCCTGCAGGCCCCAGAGGTGATTCGAATGCAGGACAACAACCCGTTCAGCTTTCAGTCTGATGTTTACTCCTACGGCATTGTGCTATATGAGCTGATGACGGGGGAGCTCCCCTACTCCCACATCAACAACCGTGACCAGGTGACCTGCAGCAAGTGCCTTTGCCCCCAGCTGCCTGTGAACCCCCAGGGTCTCCTCCCTTCGCTCACTGCTCTCTCTCTTTAGATCATCTTCATGGTGGGCCGGGGCTATGCCTCTCCAGACCTCAGCAAGCTCTACAAGAACTGCCCCAAGGCCATGAAGAGGCTGGTAGCAGACTGCCTGAAGAAGGTGAAGGAGGAGCGGCCTCTCTTCCCTCAGGTGAGGCCTAAGAGGGATTCGGGGAGAGGTTTAAAGGGGGAGGGGACCCAGACCAAGCACTGGCTGATTGATGGGACCCTGAGCTCCAGCTGGCCATCCTTGCCACTGTGTTTCAGATCCTGTCTTCGATTGAGCTGCTCCAGCACTCTCTGCCCAAGATCAACCGGAGCGCATCTGAGCCTTCCCTGCACCGGGCAGCACACACCGAGGACATCAATGCATGCACGCTGACCACATCCCCGCGGCTGCCTGTCTTCTAGCTGGTTCTCTACCCGGGGAGGGAGGGAGTCAGAAGCTGCTAAGGACCTTCTAGACAACACACAGGGCCTTACTTCACTTTGCCTTCTCTACCCATGTGGCCCCGGGAGAAAGCCAGTCACTGCCCTGCTGCCTCATCTCTGTGGGCCCAGCCTTCTCCAGGTGCACACAGATCTCACGCAATACCACGCTGGGCTCTGGCTGGCAACGAGAGGCAGGAGTGTTTTGGGGGAAGAGAAAGGTGGTGGACAGCCCAGCCCCGGTGTAGGGACACATGGTGTATTAGAAATCAGCTTCTTCACCTCTTGGATGGTGGTGCAGCGCCAAATAGTTTTGCACATAATGCACCAAACAGCCAGGACTGCTGGGATCCCGGCTGCAGAGAGCCTGCTCTGGTACTATGGAACTTGACTGTGGGGACACGTCCCCATGTCCCATCTGCCCTCCCTGGGAGCAGCCCCCTCATGCCGAATCTGTCTTCCAGGAGCTGCCCCAGGGTGGGCGCTGGCCAGCCCTGTCCCTAGTCAGCCTCAGCGTCATGTATACAAGGAAACCAGGACCCAGGTTTTCTTGATGATTTGGGTTTTAATTTTGTTTTTATTGCACCTGACAGGATACACGTTATCTGATTGTTCCTCAATTATGTTATTTTAATAAAATAAATTAAATCTAGGTTTGATGGCTGTTCACTCCTTTGGAAGCAGGCCCTGCTCCTGCAGCTCCACATGCCACTCCTTTCTGTAGCAGAGTTCAAGGAAGTGGCCAGTGCTCAGCTAGGAGTGGGCTTCACTTAGCCTAACTATACTTAGAAAAAGCAAAAAGGACTCTAAAAGTCAGGTAAGACAACTTTTACCCACACTTTAAGTAATGCACTTTATAAAACATATGGTAATCTATAGCTTTTTAGAAAAATAAATTCAGGTTTGGAAAAATTGGTTCTGACTTAAAATCAGGCAGCAGGCTTGGCATCAGGTCTTCTCAGGACCAGAAAACTGTCAGTGTGGTAAAGTTTTTACAAATTATCACCCAAACTAGGCCTTCCAGGTAAAACCAGATAGTATTAGCTGCGTGGGTTTAGAGCCTTCAGAATGACCACAGTGGGCAGAAAACCCCGAAGGGGAAGGGACTCCATTTCTTAGGCAGAAGACAGGCACTTTCACTGTTGCTGCACACATGGCAACATGCCTGCTGCTTTGGTCTGGGACACTGGAAGGACTCAGCGCAGCACATAATTTGTGTCAAGTGTTCTTATACAGAAGTCAAAATGCTGTTTAATGCACTGGGGAGCTTTACCATAGGAGTCCTTTTGCAAGTTTGTAGAATCCTTTGGTAAGAAAAATGAATCTGCTGCTTTAGCTACCATTTTACTGTTTCTGAGGAGAAAAAAGATCAAAAAGGACAGGAGCCAGGTTGCCCTAAAAGCAAGCAGAACAGTCCAAACAGTTAACTGGTCCCCATGAGGGGCTGCAGGTGCAACTAAGATATCAACTATAAAAGTAGTGATTGCATATGCTTAGTAGGTTATTTTATATCCTCCTCGTGTCCCTGGACTGTTGTACTGGAGTGGATGAGACCAAGAGCAAAGACAACCTGCCCGAGCCAACCTGGCAGAGTTGGGGCCTTCAGTGCCCAAGGTGCAGGGCAGCTGCTGCCTTCAGGGATCCGATGAGTCCACACCAGAAAGGTGCATGAAGAGGTCCCCAAGCTCAGTCATGTCCACGTCTTCAGTGCTGGGGACCTGCTGGGTCTCCCGGTTCTCGATGAAATCCCAGAGCCGTACTGAATTAAAGAACTGCAACGACAGCCACCAGGTGTGCCGGTCACTGGCAAAGGCAACCTGCAGGGTATGACCATGTCCTCCTGACAGCCTCTCCACACACTGTTATCAAGACGGGCAGGAGGACAAGCCCATAGCTTGGTGTCCCCCCTACATAGGTGGTCCCATGCTCACCCTCACTGTGCCTTCAGAGCTGAGCTGTTTGCGGGGCTTCTCGGGCTCTGCCAGCCGTCCGTCAGGGTAAGCGTGGCGGTAGAGGCATTTGCTTCCAAATGGGCAGGTCCCTTTGCCTTGCTCAAAGTATTTGCAGGCTTTTTTCCTAAAGGGTAAAAAGTGTTGAGAGGCAGGTGGGAGAATGTGGGGTACAGGTGGAGAAATGGGCCTGGATGGGCTGTGTCGTGACTCAGGTTGCATTATAGCTGGATGACAGAATGACAGCAGCTAGGGGAACTAAGCAAGGCCTAGCTGCTCTGGGGACCCAGGGGATAAAGGTGGGCTCTCTGCATCTGCCTACAGCCTGCAGGCACAGATACTTTTCCTTCTGGGCTGCAGTATTATCAAGGTGGCCCCAGGCCTAGGCAGCTAAGCCTCCAACTCTTGGCCCACTTTCCCTTCTCCCAACTTCTAGTGCTTTACCTCCTCGCGTGCCTCCTGCCTCAGAATTCCACTCATAGAGCCCCTCAGCCTTAGCTGGTCACCTCACATCCAGTCCACCTTTGTCCCTCCTCCAGGGTCTTCCGCTTATCTACTGCCCCTCCGAGGACCCCAGTCGGCACCTCCAGATACCTTTCACTCCAGCCTTGCACCACATGGACCACTGTTCCCATTCTAGGACTTCCTAACAGCAGCCCTGGATGGTTCCCCTGTGCCATGTGTTCTGGCTTGGGCCACAATTCCCAAGTTAACACCAAAACTCATCCCATACCCTGGGGATGCTTGGCCTGAAAAGACCCTCAGAGCCAGGCCCAGCAGCGGTAGAGTGTGGTAGTCTGCCCTGCACGCCTGCCCTCTTCTGGAGGGTCAGAAGACGTGAGAAACAATGCAGGGGGAAAAAAAGAGGACAATGAAGCTTTAGTAACGGGTCCACAACACAAGGGAACTACTTTAAAAAGTGACACACAGTTCCATTTTAATTTCCCTCCCCCTGGGAATTATACTGAAGTCACTGGAGAAGGGATAAAAGCAGGAAGAGCCCAGGGGGTGGGTGGGTAGGTGTGGGGGTGTGTGTGTGTACACACACACCTGAAGGGCTGGATGGCCAGGTGGGACTACAGGGGGAGGGGCTTTCTGGGCTGAGAGAGTAGAGCTGAAGGAGATGAAGTGGCACAGCCCAAAGGCCTGGGCAGGAAGAGGAAAGCACCTGGCCCATAAATGGTGTCACCTGCCCAGAGCTCAGAGCAGTACCCAAGCCACCTGCTCAAAGCAGCTCAGATGCAGGGCCAGGGATTTAGCTCAGCTGCACTGTGCCGCCTCACAAGTGCAAGGTCCTGAATTGGATCCCCAGCAGTACCCTTCCCCCAGGGCCAGAGACTTAGCTCAGTGGTGCTGCCGCGTGCCTCCCAAGCGCAAGGTCCTGGTTCAATCCCCAGTACCCAAAAAAAACAGCTCAGATGCAGAGAAGTGAGAAGGGACAGCTCTTGAGTATGTGTTCAGGTGTTTTACCAGTCTGTTAAAAACATCTGCACTCTCTGGGGGGCTGAGGCAGGAAGATCTCAAGGTTGGGCCCAGCCAAGCAATATGGTATGAAGAAAACCAGTCCTGGGCCAAATATTCTGATGCAGATAATCAGGATAAAGAAAATACTGGGAGCAACTGGAGAATGACAATCAAGTTCCCATCAGAACTGTGAACACTCGTTAAAGCAAAGTCCTGGGGAAAGAGCCCCAGAGCCCCAACCCATGAGGGCACAGGTGTGATGAAACCAGCGAGACCAAAGTACTCAGTGAAGAGAGCCTTCCCGAAGAGGGAAGTCTGCTAGAAAGGAAATCAAAGTTATCCAACAGAGCAACAAAGTGTGAAAGGCAAGTTATACCAAGCGAAAGGGATTGTAGTTCTCCCTTGGGACCCAGGGGCCCTGGTTCCAGGACTCCTAGACACCATGATCCATGAGCGATCTTATCCCTTGAGTGGCATCATTCCTGCATGTGGCCTGTGCACGTTCTGCCATCTAGATTATTGCTAACACAGTGCAGGTGCTGTACACACAGCTGTCACACCTCACTGTTTAGGGAACAGTGACAAGGAAGAAAAACTCATATGTGGTCAGTATAAATGCAATTTTTTTCTGAATATTTTTAATCTAGTTGGTTGAATGTGAGCTGTATGGCCCATGAGTATGGACACTGGATTATATATACATCAAATGAAAGAGCATCTATCTGGGCAGATACAAAAAACTTTTTCAGTACCAAGGCTTTGCACTGAGCTACATGCCTGGCTATTTTTATTTTTGAGACAGGTCTTGCTAAGTCACTAAATTACCCTGAGCCTGAACTTGCCATCTTTCTACCTTAGTCTTTCAGAATGCTGGGATCACACATGTGCACCACTCCTGGTCAAAAATTTCCTCTTTTAAATAATGAGTTTAAGGCAAAAGTTATGTTTTTTTTTTTCTTCCTTATAGTTTATAATATGCACAGGTTTATTACATCTGTAGTACAGAAGATAGTAATGAGAAGGCATAAAAGTTGGTAAGAAAAATTAAAGCACATACTGTGATACCTATAAAATCTATTCTTTAAAAAAGAGGTCAAGCTGGGTAGGGTGCAGGTTAGTGGCCCAATGTTATTTAATGAGGCTCTGGATTTGATCCCCAGCACCACCACCCCGCACACACAAAATGCTGCACATTAAATGGAATTCCAAAAAAAAAGTGTTCAGAACAGCCAAAATTGGGAACTAACTTGGGTATCCATCAGCAGAATGGATAAAGCAGGTAGCAGACAGCACCTGGGCCCGAGAAGGCAGAGGTCAGAACCACAGCCAGGACAGTGCCAGGGTCCTGTGAATTCCAAGCACTTACCCCATCCCCTGCTTAAAAGCTTCAATCAACTCGTTCTTTTTATTCTGATCTTCTACCCAGTACACACTTGGAATAACAAACTCGGATATTACACGGCATTCTGGACAAGACCTGAAATAAGAACTGCGTTAGTAAGGAAGAAATGCTGTCACAAATCCTGTGCACACACCCCACTCTGAAAGCCCTGCTGCTCCCCCAGAGGTCTCTCACCAAAGATCCCACAAGGTACAATCATCTAAGAATATCACTGCTGAAAACGGGTTCTTCAATAGTAACACACATAACCCAATTTAAACCTGAGCAAAGGATTTAGAAACAAGCACTTGAAAAGATGCTCAAAAGCAAATCAAGACCAAGGTGAGAGCCCACTTTGCACCAAAGCAAGTGTTGACAAGGACAGAAGATGAGGTGTAACATTTGGAAAACATCTGTTCAGTGCAGAGCTGCCTAGGACCCTGGAACCCCGTTCTGGAGCATACTTAGAGCCAAGCAAACCCGTGCACAAGTATGCACAGGTGTGTCACACCTAAGGCTGAGTGGGGAAACCCAATGCCTACCAGCAGAAGGACAGGTGAGGGAACAGCACTGCCATTCAATAGAACATCATTCACCCAGAGAGGGGGATAATTACTGATCTATTCTGCTCAGGGATCGCGCCCAGGTAAACACTTGTAGAAATGGGGTGAGTGGCTGCATCATAACAAGTGACTACAGATGGAGATTCCTGTAGGACAAGGGGAATGATCTAAAAGAGTGCAGTGAGGGCTACGCTTTTCTGAAAGCGTGTGAAATGCCACTGGAATGTACACTCTCACTAAAGCTGTTGTGCAAGCACATAAATGTGACTTTAGGCCAGTTACTGGACTCACCACTCCTGTTTCCTCCTCTGTAGGATAAGGATGATGGCAGGGGGGTCCCTGAGCTTGCTGTGTGAAGCACACTTGCCAGGACCACGCAAGCAGTGACCATGCCACTCCCCAAACCTGTGCCAGGCAACAGGAAATGGCCCCACACATTATTCCACGTAATCCTCAACCCCTTTTTTTTCCCTTTAAGGTGACAAAAAAAAAAGCTCACAAGATTACCAGGCAAATGGGCTAAGGCCAGAGGTAGGTCTGGGAGATGGCACTGTGCAGCAACACCAAACACCTGCTCTCTGCTGAGTCCCCAGCCCCTGAGAGGAACTGTCACCATCTTCAGAGGAAAAGGCATTTGGCTCAGGAAGGGCAAGTGAACTGCCCCATCCATGAAGCAGAGTTAGGAGGTCAAAGCATGGAGGGAGGTCCAGGGCAGAGGTCCTCAGCCTCGAGCAGCCTGGGCACACTTACTTAATGATCTGGTTTTCAAACTGCTTGGCACAGCGCCACTGGCGGATGCAGGACAGGCAGTAGGTGTGATTGCAGCTGGACAGGATCCCAAACCTCCTCTCGGAGGCCGACGCCTTCTCAAGGATCACCTCCATGCAGATGCTGCACACCTTGTCCTGGCTCGCCTGGAAGGCAAAAGCCTTCTCCATCTCCACCTCGAAGGTCGCCATGCAGACCTGCGGCAGACAGCAGGAGGGGCTCAGGTTCCGGGCTATCCCCCGGGGATACCAACGTGAAGTGGCTGCCATGAGTGAGGCCAGCGACCAGATTCAAGACACAGGTCCCTATCAGACTGCTTCCTGGTCAGTGTGGTCACTTTTCATTTATAGCAGGGTCAGAGAGGCCTGGAAAGGGTAACAGGATAGCCCTGGGGGCAGGGAGGCTATAAGGACTGGGACCCTGTCTCCTGGCCTCTAGATATACCCCCACCCCCAAAATATGGAAAAGCCCTGAAGCTGAGGCCGGGCAGTAGCAGCCCAGTCACAGGCAGCAGCACAGTGTACCCTGAGAACACACCACCCAGGACTCAGGCAAGGCCTTGGAGCTGGCTAACAGTGGGCACAGTGGGTTTACCCAGGCCTGCCCAGGGCGACGGTACAGCGCTTCCACACCACCGCTCCTACCAGAGGGGCCTTCTGTAGTGAAGCAGCATTTCATCCTCTTCACCTGATGTAATTTGCCTAACACCATAGCCCCCAAGCTTCTGTCCTCTTCTAAGCCCTCTTCAGACCTTCTGTGCCGAGCATAAGGCGTAGCACAAGGCAGAATTTCTAGACACTGGGACATGCACAATAAAGAGGTCCTGCCAACACTGTGCACCTAAGGGCTCCTCGCAGCCTCCAAAACACAGTCCTGCCTAGGCATGACAAGGTGTGTTTGTGTGTGGGGGAAGCACACGCGTGTAACCACACACATCCTCCATAATCCTGAGCTATTTCTGTTCTCTGAACTTGGAAGTGCCTATTCTTTTTTCTCTTTACTCTAAATGATCCAAAACTGACAAAATAACAGGATTCAAAAGACCCCTAAAAAGATGTAAATGTACCAGAGACACAAGGCAGGTGCTCCTGGCACAAAGATGGCCATAGAGACCAATGATTCTGTCCCTGTACAGTTCAGATTTCTTAGTTCATGTCAGGGGCTACAATGTTACCTTCTCATGAGCTCTCCTCTGCTCTGAGTCAAAAGGGTGCAGGACTTGGAGCCTGCAGATGTCACACATGTCCCCATGTAGGTAGACACAGGCATCCCCGAAGCGGCACTCCCCAGCTGCAGCGTAGGGGCACAGCTGCTGCTCGCTGCTGTAGGAGCTGCTGGCCTCTACATCATCAAGGCCACTCCTGATGGCGTCCAGGTAGGAGTGGGGCTTCATCTCAGGGCCAAGCTGGGGGTTGCTGCAGCTGCCTGGGTTACTCAGGGCCGTGCCTGGGGGAGTCTTCTCTTCAGCCAGGCCGGAGAGATCTTGACATGGAACAAAACAAACCATGCACACACACATGAGAATGGGTCACTGGCCAAACCCAACAGTCAGTGACACTAGCCCATGGAACCCACTGTTGGGAACAGAAAGCAAAAAAGCAGGCCAAAAGGGGAAGAAATAAAAGGATTGCATAAGTTTAATAGCGAAAAGGCAAAATACATACATGGTAAGACAGGGAAAAGAGCAAAACAGAACATGATACAGTGATACAAAAGAACACTTATTGCTGTCTGAAAATGTGTACACAAAAATGTGAACACATGGACTAGTTACCACTAAACCTGCTCCAAAACCCCAACCAAAGGGAATTTAGGATGAGGTCAGTTTGCCCTCTGCACATCCCACCCCCTCGAGCTTCCCCACCTGCAGAAGGACTACGGACTCCCTTGTTGAGGACAGAAGCTTCCTACTTAGGGACTAGAAGAGGGCAGCCAATGAAAATAACTTGTACCATCAGTGACTTTCTCAGCCCCGGCACAGCTCACTTCAGCTCTGACAGGGTCCTCTGTGCCGGAAGACATGATCCAGACCCTCAACAGGGTGGTACATCTGACACCAGCATTCAACCAACCTCAACAGCCAACAGTGAAAGCCACTCTTTATCCAAACATGCAGAATGAAGTGAGCAGCCTGATGTGGCCTACCCACTGTGAAGATGGCAATGACAGCATAACAAAAAGACCACCTGTCATGTTTTGCCGGGCCAAGAATGGCACTGAGCCCAGCACTCTGCAGCCACATGGACCTGGGGTGTCAGGGTTGGAGCCTCTCCACGGGAGAGGCCAGCAAGGAGCACCAAGGACAGGCAGCTGCATTCCACAGGGTAGTGGGGCCCTGCTCACTTACTCCGGTCTCTGAGCACCAGTGTCCTCTTGTCCCGACGCCCAGACTCTTGGGACGGTGTCTTCATGGCAGCCACAGTAAGGACAGAAGGAGGATGAAGACCCGAAAAGGCTGCAGAGGGCCCAATAGGGGGTGGGGGGCCCACAGCCCCCCCAGCTGCAGCCAAGGGCCTCGTGTGATCATACCTGAACAGAACACACGGCAGGCATCAGGTGCATGCTGGATGCCACACCCCAACCACTGCTAGTCCCTCAGAGTCCCCACCCATTTTCCCAACAGTAGTACAGGCAAGAAGAGGCATCAGTAGTGGGTATCACCTGGCCATCAGGGGAGTGACTGACACACCTGCTATTGGCCAATACACAAATGTCTGCAGAACACTGCTCCAGGAGTCAGGATCCAGCCAGGAGCTGAGCTAAAAGCATGCATGTGGATGGCAGGGGGGCCCTCACCACTCAAAACCCCAGTGGCTCATGCCCAGCTACATCCAGAATCCAGAGGCTGTAGGAGATGAGCACTCCCGCAGAGGCATTGCTACCAAGGCCATCCACACATCTAATGAGGACAGCACATCACCAGTATAAAAGACTGGAGAATTATAGTGAGGAGACAGAGCAACAGCATGGGCAAAAGCTTAGGACACATTTATGGAGCAAAAAAGCAAGATTTAAAATCTTACTTATTCATAAGAATAGGGCCTGAAAGGTGGCTTTGAAAATTAAAAGTAGTTTTAGGAACTGAAACAGGTTTTCAAATTATTTGCCATTTGTCTGTAATGTCATGTTCCTCTGAACTAGAAATCCCCTCATGGGGACCCACGTTCCACATATTCGGGAGCCCAGGCATTGAGTCCTTGCCTGCATCGTGTCCCATAGGCACAGCAGCCCTTCTGGTAGTACTTGCAGATGGTGGATGGCTTGCTGTTGGCCAGGTCATGTGAGAACAGGCACTGGCTGCCCTCCCGGCATACCCCGTGCATGAAGTACCTGCGGAGACAAGCAAAGTGTGCTGTTTACAAAGGCACCCACTTCTGTATCAGCATATTCTCAAACCCAGCGTACCCTGGTTCACCATGCAGACACTATGGGTGAGGTTGCAATAGTGCCTGGGGTGAGACAGTCTCTCATACCAAGACAAGGGACTCTAGATGGATCACAATGACTCCATGATAGTTTTTTTGGAAAAAAAGTAAATAACCTCACAAGTTTTTTGTTTTTGTTGTTGTTTTTTTTTTTTTTTTGGTACTGGCAATCAAACTCAGGCCCTTGTGCTTACAGGGCAGACAGTGGAAGCACTGAGCTAAATCCCTGGCCCCAACCTCACAAGTCTTTATATCAAGATACAGCCTCCTGATTTCAGACATGATAAATATGTAGAAGGTGAAAGTTATAATTGAGAAAACAGGGTTTTTTGTTTGGTTGGGTTTTGTTTTCAAGCTTATGGCAATCCTCCTGCCCAGCCCAAGTGTTGTGATTACAGGAGTGTGCCACCATGCCTGGAACCAGAGCTTTTAGAGGGTATGACTGTAACACAGTCAGACCTGGACTCAGGATCCAGCTCTGCCACTCACCATCAAGTCACAAAACCAACTTGCTGGCCTTTGCTACCTTTATCCAAAAAATGATTATACTGCCTACATGTCACTAGGTACTTGTGGCACTAAACGCCGTGTATGAGAACATTCTACTGAGAGGTCAAACGCTGGTCCAGAATAACAAGAGTATAAAGGGAGGTGTTCTAAGTCTATCTAGCTAGATAGAGAGTTGGCTGAATACTCGGGGCAAATCAAGAGACCCCACAGAGACATGTCTAGGCATAAGATTACGCATGAAGTCCTAGAATAAAAGTGGATTTCAGACTAACTAAACCCACTCAAATGAACCAGACACAAACCCATAAATTGCCCATTTCCATTTCCATGCAACATTCAGAAAGCAGCTACAGGGCTAGAAAGAGGCTAGGAGAACACTAAATATGTAGCGACTGCTAATCAAACAAGGGATCTTTTGGGGTGACAGAAATATACCAAAATGTACCTGTAGTGATAGTACTAAAAATCTTCACATTCTATACTTCCAAGAGGCAATTTTTTGGTATATAAATTATACTTCAATAGAGGTTTTTTTTTTTTGGTACCGGGGATTGAACTTGGGTCCTTGCGCTTGCAAAGCAGGCCACCGAACTGCTGAGCTAAATCCCCGGCCCTCAATAGAGTTTTTAAAAAGAAAAAAAGGAGGGCTTACAATACATTAACAGACAATACAAGAGACATAATAACTGGACGCAGTATTTAGTTCTAGATTCTATTCTAGTTTAGACAAAGAGACAACTGGGAAAGTGTGAAAAGGGACTATGTATGAGGTAAAGTCAATGACTGTTAACTGAAAAGAATAGATTATAAAAGCACATACACAATAAAATGGTGCAACTGCTATGGGAAAAAAAATTTAAATAAGATTTATCTTATGGTCCAGAAAGTCCATTTCTGGGTATTCATATGGAAGAAGCAAAAGCAGTACTGCATCTCAATATTCATATAACCATATTCGTACAGCAGCATTAAAAACATAGCCAAGGGCCAGGGATTTAGCTCAGTGGTTCCACTGCCTGACTCACAAGCGCAAGCTCCAGAGTTCGATCCCTGGTACCAAAAAAAAAGGCCAAAGATAGAAGCAATCCAAGTGCTCATGGATAGACAAATGGATACACTACCATTATAGGCATGCAATGGAATAGTACTCAAATTTAAAAGGAAAGACATTCTGACCCAAGCTATCACGTGGATGAACCCTGTGAAATAAGTCAGTCACAAAAATACAAGTATTGTATGATACTAGCTATAGAAGGCAGTAAGTATGAACCAGGGATTTAGCTCAGTGTTGCCATGGCTGCCTGGCAAGCCCAAGGTACCAAAGAAAAAAGTAGTAGTAGTACAGTAAGTTCTCATTTATGAATGAGTTCCTTTCTGGGAGAAAGTTCATAAATTGAATTCATTCCTAAGTCCAAAGAGTGAGTCTTAGACTGTCTTTCTGAAAGTTAGCAACTTGAATGTTCCTAGGTCAAGGACTAGTTGGTCTGAAGGTTATGGATTATTGTTAAACTGATTAACATAGGTCAGGGACTTACTGTATCTTGCTCGATTAGTTAAATTCACCAAGACAGAACTAGCAAGGTGCTTGCCAGGAGGGGAGAACAGAGAAAGGGAAGGTTGTTAATGGGTACAGAATTTCACTTTTGCAAGGTAAAGACGTGGATCTGGTCACACAATAATGTGAATGTACTCACAACTATAAACTTTAAAATGGTTTAGATGGTAAAGTTGATGCTATTATATGTAGTTCGCCACAATAAAACTTTTTAAGCCTGCATAAACAATATGGGTTCATTTTGGTAAAAACAAACATATGACCCCTGTAAATTATGTGTATTTAAAAACTTTCATATATGACTGTGTTAAAAGAGCGGTGATCCCTGAGAGTTAGTGTACAATCTCTTGTTTGTATTTTGCGGTGCTGGGGATGGAACCCAGGGCCTTGTGCATGTTAGGCAGGTACTCTGCCACTAAGCCTCATTTCTCTTGCCTCGTACAAGGTAATTTTGTCTTATTTTTGAGGATTTGTACATTCTAACATGTCTACCATGAATGTACACTGCCTCTCTTACACTAAAGGTTTAGTTTTAAAAATTATGAAGACAACCAATCTGAGGATGTGGTTTTAACACGGTATGTAAAATGCTCAGTACAACACCCAGCCCACAGTGGTACCTGTTAAAAAGAGTTTGGATCTGCAAGTCCCTCTCCTTCTCCTTCCCTTGCACCTGAGGTGAGCAGCTCTGCCCCACCCTGCCCTGGAGGCCATGCTGCTTTGCCCACCATAGGCCTGAAAAAGACAGAGGTCTCTGAAACTAAGGAAAGTTGGGGGACATCCAGGGAAAAGTAAAGACCTTTGGGAGGGTTCTGGCAAATCCTGGGAGGCAGGTGTAGTGCCACTGAGCTACATCCCTGGCAGTTCTGGCAGGCCCTGGCTAAAAAGAGTTAAACCTTTACTAGAGAAAGGGCAATTAAGAAGCAGCCTGGCCCCACGTGGCACCAAGACCCCAATTCACTCTGTTAAGTGCAAATAAGACAAAGTGGGGGGGGGGCTGTATTATAGAAAACTCATTTAGTATATAAATATACACACACACCTATACTCTCACCATGGTACTGCACTAAAATGTCCATGTGTCCCTTTGCTAACTGCTAACTGGGCCTTGTATGTGAGACCCACCATAAATCTTAGAGATAGCACCTTGGCAGGACAAAGAAGGCCAAATGAGCTCACCCAGGAATGTTCAAGTAGGCAATGGAGGGGGGTCACTGGCCAAGTCAGGGCCTCAGAGCCTGAAACAGCCAATCAAATTATGACAACTCTTAAGGTGTGTGTGTGTGTGTGTGTGTGTGTGTGTGTGTGCTTTGCCATATAATAACAGGGGCTAAGAACAAAGACCCTCAATCACTGGCTCCAGACTCCCTATTTTACTCTGACAAGGTAGCTATCTCATTTCTCTCCTCTTTCCAATAAAAGTGATTTTGTTTAAACTTGTATCTATAATTTTTTAATTATACAAGCTTATGATTCCTTGATAAATAAAATTCACCCTCATAAGACAAGACAAAAACCATGACCAAAATAAAGCTTTCCTCCTTTTTAACTGTTTCTCTGAGGGTCTTGATTGTTTTTTTGGCATTTGAGGAAAGCCACTGAGCTACAGCCCAGCCCTTTTATTAATTTTGAGATGGGGTCTTGATAAGCTGTCTCAGTTTTGGAGGTAGCTGAGGATATAGGTGTGTGCCACCACGCCTGGCTGTCAGGTATTCTGTCACAGCAACTTTCAAAAGCTAACACAAGCCCCCAAACAAATGTACCTCTTATTAAAGGGTAGTAAATATGTACACTGGCAAACTGCTTTATGAGTGCGGGCTGGCACTTGAAAATGGAAGAGACAGAAACTAGGGCTGCGTGGTGGCCCACTCCTGTAATCCCAGCACTTGGGAGGCTAATACAGGAGTATTATCATGAGTTCCAGGCCAGCCTGCTCTACATAGTGAGTTCAATACTGGCCCAGACTACACAAGACTGTCTCAAACAAACCAAACCAACAAAAAAAAGAAACAAAGGATGAGGGAGGTCAGGCTACAGACTTGCAGAAGGAGACAGATGGAGATGCCACTGGGAGGAGCATGTGTTAGAGAGTAGACAGACTCCAGGTACAGGTGAGGGGTAAGCAACGGTCCCCTGCCAATCCTGAAACACCCAAACAAGGCACAAGTCCATCAGGAAGCTGTGTGGAGCAGAGAGGCTTGGAGCACATGGCTCCCAGGACACCCCCTTGAGTTGTGGTGACACAGCCCATAGAGGGAGAAACCACAGGGAAGAGCCACTGTGAGGCTGCCAAACTCTTCTGTAAAGGAGCTTGATCTGTGAACCTATGTTTTAACTTATTAAAAACAAAACACATCACAGGAATTTTACACATCCATATAGCAGCCTGAAGGGCAGGTACAGCCTTGAAATGTTTGGTCTTCCCTGCCTGCCCCTCCCTCTGGGGAGCTGGCTCTGGTTCTGCAAGGAGGGAACTTCAGGGCAAAGGCAAAGATGGTCCTCCCTCCCTCTGAACAAGCCCATTAGGAGAAATCTACAAAACTAGAAAAACACACGAACAAGAAGATGAACGGTAACTATCAGTCCTGTTTAGTTCTCATTCCTTTATCTCATTCAAGACCAGCACCATCACAAGTAGTGCTTCAAGCCCATGATACATATGGGAAAGGTAAGGCTCAGAGAGGTAAGGGAAGTTACTGGCAGGCTTAGTGACAAAACCCCTGGTTTTTATAGACAGTCCTGACCTTTCCCTTCTAAAATCTACTTCCCCATCCACACCATGGCCCTGTCCAAAACACTGCACCTGTTTTCCTGCCACTAAATCATTATAATCTACTTCC